ATTGCCCACCAGATCAACCCTCAGCTGCGGGGACTGGCCTTGAAGGCCCTTCACGTCCAACCCTGCACCCCTCCAGCCTCCTTGACTCTCACGTCCCTGGGCCAGGGAAAGCCATCTGCCTAGCCACGCCCTCGGGTTTCTCTGTGCCTGAACCCCACCCCCTCTCCCACACCTGTTGAAATCCAACCTCTCCCTGAAGTACCAGCTCAGATGTCACATCCTTCACGTAGCCTTCCATGGCCTCCCTTCTGCCTCCTCCAAGCAGCAAAGCTTCAATTATTTGTGTCACCGCTTCTTCACCTGGAAACACTGCCCCCTCCCACCCTGGCCAAGGGCCAGCTCCAAGTGAAGGGACATTATAAATTGAAGAGCCCAAGTTTAGCACGTGCTAAGGGAAGGGGTTGTCTTACACTTGTTTTAAATTCTCTTTTCTAAGTTGCGAGCCCTTTGCTTCTTGTTTTCTGGAATTTGGGAAAGATTGGCGCTCTATTTCCAAAATCACATTTAGAGATCTTGAGCTTCTTCTTCCATTTTTGTTAACTCAGCCATATGGTGTCTGATTCTGAAATTTCAGCCATTCACCATCCTCTGTTACCATGTTTGCTCTATCTGTGGATTACATTTCTATTACTTAATTAATCGTTTTCTTTCAGTAGTCTTCCTTTGAAACCTTATTTATTTAAAAATGCATATCACTGGCATACCACCGAGAATGTGTTCTTGACTCATCAAACCAAACCTCATTTAACACAAATGTATAAAATAGAAAATGTTCCCCTGTGTGTGTCTAAAATTACCAGGCTTAACAGCTGAGGGTACTTGTATCAGACTTTGGGAACCAGCCATAGTATTTTCTGTGAGGTTCAGACTTGCGCAAATTCATTTCATTCATTCATTCGTTCATTCATTCAACATCTATTCTCCCCCTTCAGCTTCACTGAGGTACAGTTGACAAATAAAAATTATGTATCTAAGGTGCACAATATGATTCAATATTCATTCTCATTAGTCGGGTTTCAACAAGGAAGAGACATGATGCCCAGCTTCAGAGAGCGGTACCCCCTCTACGCTGTCGCAAAACCCCATCCTAGAGCCCCCTTCACGGATGGAAATTTCCTGATAGAGATGCTTCTTTATTTTCTGTTTTTCTGACTTAAATCTTTGATAGACGAGGAGAGGGATTCGGTTTTTCTTTACTCTCTGCTCTATCCTCATGCTTGGAGCACAGCGGCCACTGGTACAGATTTATTATGAGCTGAGCGCTGCCCAGCCCCGCACCAGCTGGGCCTGGGGTCCCACTTTCAGGGAGACCCTAGTCTCTTGGGGGGAGATAACCGGGCTGACACAGGATTTGCCTGACCCAAGGTTGCACGTGAATGGAGTGGAAAGCCACTGCTGTATCTGAACGGAGGTGGACAGAGCACGGAGTCGTTATTTGCTGGTGAGGGAGAAGCGTGGAAACGCCGCGGGTCGGTAGGAATAGCAGTCAGCCCTTCCCCAGCACCTCCTGTGTGCTAAAATACAGAAGCCCTGCTCACGCCTTGAAGAGGGGTTTCTCAGCCTTGGCACTGTTGACACCCAGGGCAGGATAACAATCTGTGGTGAGAGGCTGTCCTATGCATTGGCGGGTGTCTAGCAGCATCCCTGGCCTCTACCTACTCGATGCTCATAGCATCTCCACCCCCAGGTGTCAAGACCTAACCTGTCTCCAGACATTGCCCAATGTCCCCTGGGGGCAAAAACTGCCTTAAGTGAGACACACTATAGTAAAGTGTTCCAACAACCTTCTGAGGTTCACAGTGACTATGAGATGGAGCTATCTGAACCCTCTGCTTCCAGAGTCCATGCACTAACCACTGTGCAACATGGCTTTGTGTTTGGACTTGGCTCCCAGGCTCTGAGCTCTGAGGTTAGCACTGCTCTGGTCCTGCTCTGCCTCTTGGCCCCGTGCACTAAGCTAAGCAGCTCTGAGGCCAGACGTCCCACCTGGTTGGCTCACCTGCCAGGCACTAAGTCTGTAACCACATCCAGAATTTATTTTTGATAAATCAAAAGGCTTTGGAACAGCCATCGTGGGAAACAATATCTGCACTTCCTTTCTTCAGTTTCTTTATGGTTTATTTACTGCAGTTTTTTGTTAGGTATTTAAGATTTTTTGCAATTGACTTTAGAGAGAGAGGGAGGGAGGAGGAGAAAGAGAAACATCAGTTTGTTTTCCCCCTTATTCATGCAGTCATTGGTTGATTCTTGCAGGTGTCCTGAACCAGGGATTTAACCCACAACCTTAGTGCATCTGGATGATGCTCTAACCAATTGAACCGCTTGGCCAGGCCTTGTTTACTGTGGTTTTAACTTTTGAACTTATTGTTTTCTCATAGCTTCAGACTTCTCAGTGTCTGACCTAGACCCTGCCAAAACCCAGACGGTCTCACCTCTCCTTGAATCTGCAGCCTGGGCCTCAGGTTCCCCGGATGGGCCTGCAATAATAGTTGGAGCCTTTGCTCTCTCTAGTCTCCCATGTCACCCTCCCACCCCTGGCTTTGACAGCTCTGTCCTGGGCGTCTGGTTTGCTCGGCCCTGAGAAGATGCTGGGGAGCCAGAGGGCAGTTGTGAGTTCTCCCATAGGCCTGCTCACGTGCCTAGGCAGGTCAGCCACCCACCCACCCACCGACCCAAGAATGGTATCTCTGTGTTACATCCGGAGGTGGGGCTGACCTTGTCTGGACACATCTGGAGCAGATGGGCTGGCCAATGACAACAATAGGATCAAGGGAGGATTAAGGTGGCTGGCATAGGGTGGGCGGGGTGGGAGGCGTAGGACCGGAGTCTGGTACTGCGTGTTGATGCCAGAGATCTTCCTGGAGGAAAGAACCAAGAGCCCCACCAGGGTGGGGCGGGGCGGGGTTGGACCCGGGATACAGAGGGAGCAGAAGGGCTGGCTCCCAAGTGGAATCTGAGGGTTCCTGGTGGACCCAGAGGAGGCTGGGCATGGGGGAGGGGGCCGGGGGCAGGCAGGGCCTTTGTGAGTCAGGGCCAACGGCTTAGGGTCCTCTGTCCAAGCTTGGGAACAGGCCCTGAGTTGGGGGCCGCGAGGAGTGCTGTAAAGGAGGAGGGTGCTGAGGGAGGGTGGTAAGAGGAGGACCTCGGTGCTAATGGGAGCCAGGCAGGAGCAGAGGGACAGGGAGCCTGGGCGTTTGCCGTTTCTGGGTGTCCCAGTCTTTGTTTGGGTGTCCGCGTGTCTCTGTAGCTGTCTCTCTGAGTCTTTCTCTCCATCTCTCCATCTGTCATTCTCTCCAACTCAGTCCTTGCGTCTTTTCTTTCCTGTCACTCTCCTCCAGCCTCCTCAACTCTTGTGTCTAGATCTCTCAGTCTCTGGGGGCCGCGCCTAGGACCCCGCCCTTAGGTCGGGGGCGGGACGGGGGTGGGCCCCGCGGCGCGGCCGGGCGGGGTTAAAAAGGGCCGCACCGCGGGACAGCGCGGTCAGAACCGAGGTGGCGGCGCGGGTGGATCCGGAGTGAGGGCTTGAGGCCGAGACTCGCGGGGTGAGTACAGCAGAAAGAGTGTGTGTGTGCGCGCGTGTGTGTGCGTGCGCGAGCGCACCCGCCCGTGTGTGTCGCTGGGGGTTGGGGTGGGACACCCGAGCACGCCCTGTTCTGGAACCCGAGGCTCCCCAGCTCCCGGGCTGACAGGGCAAGTGCGAGTGTATGCGCGCGGCGGCGTCGTGGGTCCCCAGGACCCAGGACGGGCCCGCGTGTCCAGGACACTCGGGTTAGGGGGATAAGGTTGTGCTCCAAGACGGCCGCTGCGTTTGAGCGCGGGTATTTCTGGTTCGGCTCCTTAGGGCTGACTGAGCTCAGTGGGATTTCCTTGTCTTAGAAGAGGGCCCCCCGACGGACTTATGTTCTGCTCTGGCCCCTTCACGTCTCTACCCACCCGTGGCAGGCGGCGCAGAACCACCGACTGCCCCTCTGTGAAAACAGGACGCCCTTCTGGGCCCCCAGAGGGAGGTCCTGCCTTTGACCCTAGCTGATGTTTGTTAGCTACTGGTGACACGATGCTCTCTGGTGTCCCAGGGGCCAGGCTGCCACCTCTTGGGTTGCTCCTGGGCCCTGCAAGGCGGCTGAGGCCCACCAACTGGGGGATATCAGGCTGGGGGTCCCTGGGAGAACGACAGGGGGGCAGTGGGTAAGCTGGGATTTGAACAAACCAGCCTTGTGTAACCCCAACATCCGGGGCACTTTCCAATGGCCCCGGCCTCTCTGTACAGCCCAGCTTGGGTTTCTAAGTGGTAACATTAGCTCTGGGCTGGTGGCTGGCAGTGACCTCCATTGGTATCTGCGAAGGGGCTTGGATGTCTCAGGAGTCATTCACAAAATGAGACCCTCCCTCTCCTCTCTGGCAAGACTTGGGCCTAATTCTACAAATCCCAGGTGGCTGGGTAACAAAACTGAGTGTGATGGGGACACTAATGCAACCAGAGTCACCTTTGATCAAGGGCTTGCTGTGCGCCCAGCACCGAGCCGAGCACATTAAAAATTCTGGGTTGTCATCACAGTTTCAGGAACTAGGTAATATAGTTCCGGTCTTACTGAGGTAGAAATTGAGGCTCAGAGAGGTACAGACACTAATCTGAGGTCACACAGGGGAGCTTTATAGGATCCTCTCCCAGTCTCACATTTCACGTGGCCACACTTGCTCCTGACGGTGCGCAGAGACAATGGCAGCCCTAGAACCCTGTAGATTGCTACCGGTGGTTTTTAAACTTCTTTTTCTGCCAGGATCTCCAACAGTATGCCCAAAGCCGCAGTGAGGCTCCCCACTCCCCGCGCCAATTGGTCAACTTGACCTTGCTCTCAGAACTGCCCCCGAAGTTCTTTCTCAGAACTCCAGAAATTTGGGGTAAGCTCCCTCTTAGCCTCAGGCCTTCTGGGGCCCGGCACTTTGGGAGATTATGAATCTTGGTGGGGCAGTGCTTTGTCATAGAGGGGTCAAGGGGGTGCCATGAGCCAGGATGGGAACAGGGAGCCAGGATGAGAGCAGAGCTGGGGTGTGGGTCAGTAGGACCTCTGTCACGTGCTCGGCTCTCAGGCTGTTGGTGAGCCCCAGCACCTGTGCTTCAAAGAGAGGCAGATAGGAGGTTTCCAGCAGGTCAGGGTCTCCGTCCTGCATTCTCTCGTAGGAGCTCATGCACCTTGTATGACGAGTCCTTGACTGGCGGCTGGGCTAACCTGACAAACCAGAGCTCCCTGGGTGTGGGCCTTGGAGCCACTGGCACTTCCATCTCTAGATAATCTGGGGCCCTAGCAGGGCTACCTGCTAAGCTACCTCTGCCAGGGCAGGGCTGCTGGGTGTCCTGCCTAGCATCTGGGATGCGACTGAGGGTTGGTGCGGGGAGGAGTGAGTGGGCTGGCCTCCCACAACATCCTGAGTGTGTTTTGAGTTTCTCTCGCTCCAGTAAAATAGTAACAGTAGAAACAGGAATAATGGCTAAAATTTTCCATACTACCAGCTAAGGCTCATCCTGCTGAAGTGTCCCAAACAACCTTAACAGGTAGGTCCTGCTATTAATAATCTGTTTTCCAGAATGGTGAGTGGAAGCTGAGTGTGGGGACTCAGCTCACTCGAGGCTGTTTTGTGGGGGAGGGATGGAGCCATGAATGGAACCCGGGCTTGCTTGAGTCAAAACTGCACATTGCAAAGGATGAGTCCGTCCCCAAACAACTTTTCATTTTATGTTTATTTATTTAAGTTGAAGTGTAATAAATGTAGAGGAAAGTGCACATTCCCGAACTGGACAGTCAAGGAGCTGTCACAAATTGAACCCACATGCGTCAGCAGACCCAGATCAAGAGGAGGGAAACCTGCCGGTGCCCCAGAACATGCCCCTCCCCACCAATTAAACATCTTAACTCATTCTTTATTAATTTCAGCTAGTTCCTTTTTTTTAGGATTTTTAAAAATTTTATTTTAAAATCATGTTTATTCTATTACAGTTGTCTCAGTTTTTCCCCCTCTGCCGCCCTCCACCCATCCCACCCATCCCCCCTCTCCCACAGTCAATTCCCACTCTGTTGTCCATGTCCATGGGTCATTCGTACATGTTCTCCAACCAGTTACTTTTTAAACAGAGTTTAATTTTTAGAGCATTTTTAGATTTACAGAAAAAAAAAGAAAACGACACTGGAAGTATAGCATTCCAGCACACCATTGCCATCTACAATTCCCCGTTATTAACTAACGTCTTGCATTAGTGTGGTGTGTTTGTTACAACTGATGGAATCAATAGAGACACATGATTATTAAAGTCCATAGTTTACGCTGGAGTTCACTCCCTGGGTTGTACAGTCAATTCATTAATTTTATTTCAAAACAACAACAAAAAACATTTTTGAATGGGCAATGTGTGCTCATGGTATAGAAAATCAAAAAGTCTCCCGAAATGAAGTGGGAAAGTTAAGTCTCCCTTCCACCCCTGCCCCCAGGTCTTCCAGGTCACTTCCAGAGGCGGCACCATGAGGACACATGGGTCCACAAAGCACTTTTTAAAAGTTTCTTTTGGCCTTAAAAAAATTGAGGCAAAATTCACTTAATATAAAATAACTTAAAAATAAAGATTGTATTTATTTATTTTTAGAGAGGGGGAAAGGAGGGAGAGAGAGGGAAAGAAACACCAATGTGTGTTTGCCCCTTGTGCGCCCCCTACTGGGGACCTGGCCCACAACCAAGGCATGTGCCCTGCCAGGGAATTGAACCGGCGACCTTTGGTTCACAGGCCGGCTCTCAATACACTAAGCCACACCAGCCAGGGCTAAATAACTTTTTTAAAGTGAACAATTCAGTGACATTTAGTACATTTACAATGTTGTGCAGCCACCATCTCTGTTTTATTCCAAAACATTTCCATCACTCCAAAAGGATACCCTGTCCCCCAGCTCCTGGCAACCACTAGTCTGCTTCCTCTCTCTACGGATTTGCCTCTTCTGGGCATTTCATATAAATGGATTCATATACTATGTGACCTTTTGTGTCTGGCTTCTTTCACCCCGCATGGTGTTTTCAAGGTTCATCCATGCTGCACCATAGCTCAGAGCTTCATTCCATTTCATGGCTGAATAATGTTTCATCGTATGGACCACATGATATTTATCCGTTAATGAGTTGAGGGCCCTTTGGGTCATTTCCACCTTTTGGCAATTGTGAATAGTGCTGCTATGGATATTTGTACACAGTATTTGTTTGAGAGTCGCTGTGTTCCATTCTTTTGGGTATATGAAGAGTATCCAGCCATGCAATGTGGAAAATAGGGAAATTTATTAAAGAAGATACAAGATACAAGAAACTTTGTACAGAGGACAATGACACCTCAGTCCCCTTCCAAGTAGGCACCTTGGGACCTCGCACAGTTCTCCCTATCACCATCAGCTGCCCCGTCATATTTTCCTGAATCTCGTCAATGGTCTGAAATCTCTTCCCTTTCAAAGGTGATTTTAATTTTGGGAGAATTCAAAAGTCACAGGGCACCAAATCTGGGCTGTAGGGGGAGCTGGGTCACCTGGGTGATTTGATGTTTTGCCAAAAAAACTCTGCACGAGATGTGAGGCATAAGCAGGTGCATTGTCGTGATGAAGCTGCCAGTCACCAGTTGCCCAGGGCTGCGGCCTTGTGAATCCTCCAAATAGTTTCTGCAGAGGAACGTTGAAGCTTAATGCAAAATTCGATGCAGATTCGTTGCTCTACTCACTCAGTCACTTTGAAAGCAACGGCCACACAGTACGCATGGTCTCTCAACAGCATCTACTGCCCCACTGACTAGTACAGTGAAGTAGTCATTGTTCACACATGCACATTTCAGTCCACTCTCCTTGGCTGCCAGGTTAGATCAATGTCATGCAAACCGTTCTAGTTATATTAACACTGGCTGGACTTTTTCCGGACAGACTTTGTATACCTAGGAGTGGAATTGCTGGGTTCATGTGATAGTTTGATATTTCACTTTTTGAAGGACCATGAAACTGTTTCCCACAGTGGCTGCATCATCTTAACGCTTTTTGGTAGCACTTTCTTTGGGGGGTTGAGCAGGAGTGCTCTTGTTTGGGGGACAGGAGCAACCCAGCTGTGGAAAGTAGACAACTTCCTCATTCATTGAGCTCCTCCCCTGAGCAGCAGCTGGACCTCTTGCTATTATTCCCATTTTGTAGATTAGAAGACTGAGGCTCCCAGAGTGAGAGCCGGCTGGGGACCCACAGCATATGCTCTTCCTGCTGGGAGCAGAGCTGGTGTCTGTCCTGGGAAAGGCTGCAGCCCACGCCTGGCATAGGAGGGTGGTGAGGTGGGCACAGGGCTTCGGAACTGCCCTCCTTGGCCCTCCTCAGGCACCCACGGGTACGCACTCACCTGTGAGGCCGGCACAGGGCTTCACTCGCCCTTTTCTCTGACCTCTCCAAGGCCCACCAAGCCGGAGCAGGGAGCTCTTTTCTGGCACCAGTGCTTTTTCTCTTATTCCAATTTTTTCCCCTTTCAATCCTTCAGGAAAACATTTTCTTCGTTGGGCCTATCAGCTAGGACTTTCCTGGGTCGGGGTAGGGCCTTTGCTGTGACTCCACTCAGAAGCCCCCCAACTCCCTCTGGGGGCTGCTGGGAAGATGAAGTGAATGACTGCGAAAGACACAACATCCAGCATGTGCTGTCATTTACAGAGCGAGGGAAGGGGGCTGCCTGATGGTGGTGAAAAATGCACTGCTGAGGCAGAGCTGGGCCTGGAGGAGCTGCCATGGGCTGAGCTGCGTGAAAGGCATGATGGGTGGAGGGAACAGCATGTGCAAAGGCTCTGAGGTAGGAATGAACTTGGCCTATGGCTGCAGTGGCCGGAGTTGAGTGAGCGAGGAGGAGAGCGATGGGAGACAGGGCTGGAGGGGTCAGCAGGCCCCAGGCTGCACAGGGCATTTTGGTGCATGGAAATGACTCTGAATGGTGTTCAGGGTGTAATGGGGAGCCTCGGGGGATTCTGAGCCGGGGAAGGCCATGGTCTGGTTTCATTTAGGAAGGCTGCCGTGTGGGGAAAGGACCGCGGGGCAGGGGCCGGATAGAAGCGAGGAGAAGCGGGAGCAGCCTGCTGCGGAGGCCTGGCGTGGGCTGGGATGGTGGGGATGGAGAGCAACGAACGGACATGAAAGACGTTTAGGGCAGACAATGGATCGGATGTGGGAAGAAAGAGAGAGGTAAGGTGAATCTGAGGGTCTGGGGATGCCCCGAGGAGTACCTAGGAGGTGGCTGGACCTACGGGGGGTGGGGGGTTGACACCGAGACATGGGCGGTGCTTCTGAGATGAGGTCGTGGAGACCATGGAAGGGGTGAGATCCCCTGGAGGCATACGCAGAGGGGGAGGAAGAGATGACACAGGGCCCAGCGCCTCGGAACCCCCACATTTACAAATTGGGTGAGGGGGCCCTTGTGGCAGATGTGGAGGATGGGCAGGGATCAACTTCTGAAGGGCTTTGGATACCAGGCTGAGGCCAGTGGGGAGCCATGGAGGGCATTAGAGCAAGGAAGTGGCAGACCTTTAGAAATGTGACAGTGGGGACTGAGATGGGACCCAGACTGCAGCCAGGTTGCCAGGGGTTAGAGATGTGACCCTCTGTTGGCTGAATATGTTGGCTCTCCCCGCCCCCGCCCCGACCCCAGGTCCCTTCCCCTGCCACATGCAGGAAAGGCCACACTGGGGCGGGCCCGGAGATCATCTTTTACAGCCAGCTCAGTTTCAGATGGGGAAACGGGCCCAGAGCACAGCCAGCCAGCAGAGGAGTCAGGATTAGTACCCAGCTGCTCACGCTGTGTGTGTGTATTTAATAAGTAAGCCCCTTTAATTTACATTCTTCACTTCACTCAGGGCTCTGCTCAGATACCCCTCCCCAGAGAGGTCCTCCCAGACCACCTCACCTAATAAGAGTGCTCTCTACCCTTTTACTCTGTGTATTAGTGTCCTGGTGCTGCCATAACAAATGACCACTAACTGAATCCTGTCCCCCTCACCACCGCAAGACAAAACTTTCTTCTCTCACGGGTCTGGAGGCCAGACGCCTGAAATCCAGGCATCAGCAGGGCCCCACGCCCTCTGAAGCCTCTGGGGCAGGATCCTTCCTGACTCTTCCAGCTTCTGATGGCCCCAGGCATCCCTTGGCTTGTGGCCA